GGGGACGCGCCCCGGGGAAGCCGCTGAGAGCGGGGCGGGTGCCCCCGGGCAGCCAGGCGGCCCCCCCGCCCCCTGGGCCGCTCCGGGGGCCAGGCCAACCCGGCGCACCGAGATCTCGGAGCTCGCGCGGCCAAGCCCGCCAAGACCGCACGCCTGCGGCCTCCAGAGAGGGGCTTGCGCCCGCCGGAGCTGTACGCCGAGAGGGAGAGAGGAGCCCGGGAGATTTCAGAAAACACTGCTTTCTACAAACCTCACCGCGAAGAGCATCAGAGTGGGTCAGACCAACGGGCCATCTGGCCCGGCGTCCTGTCTGCCCATGGTGCCCAATCCCAGGTGCCCCAGAGGGAGGCAACACAACAGGGAGCCCTCAGGTGATCCCTCCCCTGTCCCCCATTTCCAGAGAAATAGAGGCCAGGGACACCTGTCCTATCCATCCTGGCTAATATCTAGCTCTTTTTTCAACCCTGTTCAAGCCCTAACCTTTACCACCTCCTGTGGCGAGGAGTTCCACAGGTTAATTGTGCGCCAGGTGAAGAAAAACTTCCTTTGGTTTGTTTTAAATCTGCTGCCTGTTCATTTCATTGGGTGACCCCTAGTTCTTATATTGCGGGAACAAGTCCATGACTTTTTCTTACTCACTTTCTCCACACCCGTCATGATTTTACAGACCTCTATCCTCTCCCCCCCAGCACACCCCCTGCCTCTCCCAGCCCCCCGAGCCTCCTCGTTACTCCCGCTCTCGTCTGCACCAGCCCAGGCCTCTGCTCAGCCTCCCCAGCTGAGGTGCAAGAGCCTTCTCCTTTGCATCCCGGCCACACTGCCTGGCTCTCTCCTCCTCATCTCAAACCCGGAGTGGAACTGCCGCCTCGGAACCAGTTCGGAGAGCCTGCAGGGGGAGAGAAGGGGGCTGGGGCACCCACAGCCCCCCGCCTGAGAGGAGCCGGACTCACCTCGGAAGAGGTCGTACCAGGCCTTCTTGGCCCTCAGATGCTGCACCCCGTTCAAGTGCTTCTTCCTGTTGTGGAGGTTGTCTTGGAAGGAGCGGTCGCAGTAGTCGCAGAAATACCGTTTCCCCATCGGGCCGGAGCCGGGTCAGCGCCGCCGGGAGGCCAGCGGCTGGAGCCGCACGCCTGCGGCCTCCAGAGAGGGGCTTGCGCCCGCCGGAGCTGTACGCCGAGAGGGAGAGAGGAGCCCGGGAGATTTCAGAAAACACTGCTTTCTACAAACCTCACCGCGAAGAGCATCAGAGTGGGTCAGACCAACGGGCCATCTGGCCCGGCGTCCTGTCTGCCCATGGTGCCCAATCCCAGGTGCCCCAGAGGGAGGCAACACAACAGGGAGCCCTCAGGTGATCCCTCCCCTGTCCCCCATTTCCAGAGAAATAGAGGCCAGGGACACCTGTCCTATCCATCCTGGCTAATATCTAGCTCTTTTTTCAACCCTGTTCAAGCCCTAACCTTTACCACCTCCTGTGGCGAGGAGTTCCACAGGTTAACTGTGTGCCAGGTGAAGAAAAATGTCCTTGTGTTTGTTTTAAACCTGCTGCCTATTCATTTCATTGGGTGACTCCTAGTTCTTATATTGTGGGAACAAGTCAATAACGTTTCCTTATTCACTTTTTCCACACCAGTTATGATTTTACGGACCTCTATCCTATCCCCTCAGTCTCCTCTTTTCCAGGCTGAAAAGTCCCCGTCTCTTTAATGTCTCCTCATACGGGCCCCGTTCCAAACCCCGAATCATGTTAGTTGCCCTTCTCTGAACCTCCAGTGCCAGTAGATCTTTTTGGAGAGGAGGGGACCACACCTGGACGCCGTGCTCCAGAGGTGGGCGCACCACGGATTTATAAGGGCAATAGGATATTCTCCGCCTTATTCTCTCCCCCTTTTTCAATGATTCCTCACATCCTGTTTGCTTCTCTGCCTGCCCCTGCGCACGGCGCGGGCGTCTCCGGAGAACGATCCACGACAAGGCCCGGATCTCTCCTGAGGAGCTGCAGCTACATTAGCCCCAGCGCAGTGTCTGTGTGGTGAGAGAGCTGGGGAGCCAGCGACCCGCTCCCCGACCTCTCAGCTACATTAGCCCCAGCGCAGTGTCTGTGTGGTGAGAGAGCTGGGGAGCCAGCGACCCGCTCCCCGACCTCTATCAGCGCCCCCCTGGAAACACCCAGCCCCCCACCCTCCCTTTTCTCTTTTTAATGTTTTTACATTGTCATTT